AGGTGGCTGCTGGAGGCCACATGCTGTCCACTCATTTGGTGCAATCAAATATGTAACAAAACAAGGATTCAAGGATTTGGACTTTACAGTCATACTTAAGTTGTGCTGGAAATATTTGTCTTTGATTGGTTTGCAATGCCTTGTTGTAGTGTTCATTCATTTGTCAGGTTCCTATTTCTCTATGCTCTGATTTATAGAAACCCACAAAGAACAAATCAAAGGATGAGTGGTACCTGGTGCTCCTCCATCATGCTTAGAATTGAGGCAAAACAGTTCAATCTTGTTTTCATCAGAGATCACAGCTATAATTCCCTGAATGCACCACAGTTTAATCATACAAGTCTTATACATGATCATCATCAGAGGACATGTGGAACACATACAGCACGAACATCAGCAGCATGGCATAGCCTGGCACGGAGGCCACACACATACACACACACACATAGCAGACAGACAAAGCATGATCAGCATTAAATCCAGTTCTACATCCAACAAAAACACTAAATCATGAATACCATTGAAATAGGCCATGACAGTCCAAAATACTAAATGAGCTTACTTTTGAAGATTTCAGCAGGAGATAACAAGGCTTGGTGTTGAACGCTGAAATGATCTCTTTATAGTCTCTTTCATATGAGAGCAGGACAAAGAGTTCAGTTGAAGAGTCTTGTTCTGGGTAACGTTGGGTGACAAGGGGCTTCTGGTCACCGAGTCATCTCATCAATCTGTGTTCTTGTATCAACTCATGTAAACAACTATTTCATTTCAAATTGATAAAGTTCAATCAGGAGAGACTTCGTTTGAAATTTTCAAAATAATATTACACATGCATAAAATTTGAATAGTGCAAAGTCTTTGTCGATTGGACTCCATCCTGAAGTAGGACAGTAGAGGGGTAGTGATGCTGAGGTCAGATAAGGCCTGATCCCCATAGAGTCCAGACACTGGTGGTGGTGGTGATGATGAAGATGAAGATGAGGAGCATGACTGTGATGCTGACTGGAGATGACTGAAGTGGAGGAGGGTCGCATCTGATTTGAGCTGAAATGACAACTGACAGCAGCAGAGAGGAGAACATTTTAAAAGTTTGACAGCAACGATGTGATTGGCTGAAGGAAACGGTGCAGAACCTGGTTGGTTGATTTCAAGTGAACGCCCACAATCAGCTGATAGAGTAATCCTGGTTGATCCAAACTTATTCCATTTAAGAACTATGGACTACACTTTGCTTTTAGGAACCTTTAATGCAGCTTCCTCAGATCTGTGCCTCCACACAATCCTGTCTCTGAGCTCTGCAGACTGGTCCTTCACCTCATGGCTGCAAGCCGCCAGACCACAGGTGTGCCTTTCCAAATCATGTCAAATCAATTGATTTTCACCACGGGTGGACTCCAATGAAGGTGAGAAGCATCGAGATGATCAAGAGAAATGGGAGGCATCCAAGCTAAATTTCAAGTGTCATAGCAAAGGGTCTAAACACTTATGTCAAGGAGGTATTCAGTTTTCTTTTCTTTTTATTAAATTGTAAAATGTGATATCCTGTTTTTCTTTGTCATTATGGGTATTTGGTGTGTATTGATTTAAGCATAAGGCTGCAACATAACACAATGAGAAAAAAGGAAGGGTTCTGAATGCACTGTATAATCCACATTCACTAGAGCCTTCCAGGGGCTCCAGTTATTAAAGGGCAACGCCACAGTTTCACAGTTATTATCCTGACAGTTATTCAGCACATCTATCAACACCTCCACCCCCTCTATCAACCTTACACCACTGTCAGCCACCGAAACAGAAACACAGACAGAGACAGAGAGACATAGACTGAGGTCGGCATTAGCAGACAGAGGGCATGGACTAAATAGGTCTATCTGCAGGCGGTCAAAGACCGAGAAAGGATAAAAGGAAGAGAAAAGGAGAGGCGAGGTGGTTAGAGACAGAAAGTGATCTAAGGGCTTTAATTGCAGGATAGAAACAGGGGTGGGGCTTTGATAGAGAGGGACAGGATACACTGTAAAAAACATTACAGTGTTGCGACCAGCAACCATGTTCAAGCAAATACAAGAAAAATGCCCTATCGTATGCACCTATGGTGAGGTCCCCTCTAGGGTGCCCTTCCAGTGGAGGAAATGTGATGAAGTCCCCTCTAGGATGCCCTTAACAGGGATCAAGTTTCTGAAGAATTTGTATTTTTATCACTATTGTTTGTAGTCCAATTACATAATTTTCTTTTGTGTGTTGAGCTTGACCGAGTGCACTGAAGTCAGGTTGAATGCCTGAGGTGAGATGTGAAGGACAGCTGACGACTTTTGTTCACATATGTTTAAAGCAAAGCCTCAGTGGTCCGTGCCGCTCTGCATCAGTCAAGTGTTTCGTCTCGTACTGGAGATTCAAATTGTAATCCTTAAACACTGCGATCTGTTCTCCACCAACTCAGCACAGCTTTACCTTTGACTTCAGTAAAGAAATACTTAGAAGTCAATTTTTTAAGTGATTAACAGCTAACTCACATCTCCTGTAAGCTCCGCCCACAAACACATTGCAGTGACGCTGCTACTCGCACACATTCACGAACGTACGTAAATTAAGAAAAAAAAACAGCAACAGTCACCTTCAAAATAAAAGCAATGCAAATATATTCCGTGCATGATGTACACTTATTTATGTTTTATTCCTAATTTCCTATTGACGTCCTGCGGCCGGTCGGCGACAGCCAAAGGGCCGGGAAAGGCCCGGAGGCTACAATGTCCAGGTCTGCTCTAGAATAACCTTCCCTGCCCTCTAAGTTACAAACTGCAGTTATCCTTTGACTCATTACAATGAGTATGGAATGAGAAGAGGAGCTGATTTATTTAAATTGATTCTACAGTGTATGGAAAGGGTAGGGGTGGGATTCTGGGGGGTGGTTAGAAAGTGATCTAAAGCACTCTAATTGTAGGTGGTGTGTTGGTGAAAGTGATTTTGTGTCCCTGCACATCTCTGTGTCTGTCACATCAATATTCGACCAACCTCTCATTTAAAGCTGTCTACCCTCACCTCCAGACAGCCTCCACCCCTCCCCTCTCTGTGTGCCAGTAGAAACTCTCCTTCACTGTTGGCCACTTCGGCTGATTCTGACGAAGCTGTCGGGAGAAAATAATTAGTGGACAATTCAGACTATACACCCCCTCCTTCTTCTGTGTCAGGCCCTAACTTTCTCTGTTTTCTCTCTCCTCTCTGTGAGGAGGGCAGATATGGATGGATGGATGGATGGATGGATTAGAGGGGATAATAGATGAGAGATGATCATCACTTGGTGCTTCTGTCAGCTGTGACCTTTGCAGGCTGAGTGACCAGAGAGAGAGCAGAGTCATTACCAGCCTTCATCCCTTTGTGTGTCTGTCGCAGCCCCGTTGAGAGGAGAACAGCTCTGTCATTTAGGGCACCAGTTCCCAACCTGGGGATCAGGACCCCTAGGTGATCACAGGATCATTTTTCAGGGTCATAGGATATATAGTTTTACCTTACTAATTATTTGCTCCCCTCAATTCTCCTCTATTTTAGCTTTTTTGTTCGTTGTTGCTTTTGTCACTCACACTATAAACAGCAGCATTACCTCCGGCTCCAGGTCGTCGCGTCCGACTCGATTTGGATGAAAGGAAAACAATGTTGATGCTTTTAAGAAGCCCCAGGTGATAGTCTTAACTTCGCTGGGTCTGTTTTTGGATCACAAAGGAGAAAACAGTTAACATCTATGCCCCGCTTGCTTCCCATTCAAGTCGACATTTATATATATACATATAGGCTGTGCTGTTGTGCTCATCTCAGACCCACGTGGCGTGTAAACGCGGCCTCTATTGTGTACCTCTTTACTCCATTAAATACTCGTGGCCTCGCTGCCATTTTGTAAACTCGGGTGGCGTGAACACCCGAGTGCTTTACTATCACTATTGATCACGGCCGCCATTTTTCTTTTGCTCTCGCTTCTTCCCCCTCACACACACCCTCTCACACACACACCCTCACCACATGATTGTTGGTTGATGTTAGATAGTAGGCTTGTAATTGTACAGTAGTAGTTGTTATTTTTAGATATTATTGGACTTGATCATTACTATTAGAATTTAATAAACTCTGTTATTCTTTAAAGAGCAGCTTTCTGTGATAACAGCTGAATATCGTGGCCTGTGCTCGAATTCAAAACCTTCACTGTTCACTCTGAATGTAGAATAGTACTTTGACTGTGAGACTTCATTTATGTTTGGTTATTGGTCCCTGATCTCAGGTTGGGGCCCCCTTGTTATTAATCTTATTGATATTAATACTTTTACTATTATCAATCATTTAGTTTTTATACTTGCTGATAATCAAACACACTGCTGCCAGATCCCAACACATTCTTAAGTCCTTTGATTGTAGGACGACCCTGCTCTCCACTCAGCCACAGTCGCCCGCTAAAGGCGGAGTGAGAGGACATAACCCTACACACTGTCCCTTTAACCACAACCAGAGTCTTTTGCTAAACCCAACCAAGTAGTGTTGTTGCCTAAGTAAACCTAAAAACTAAGTCAAATTGGAAGTTTATTTTGAAAAGAGACTGTATGCATGCAACGAGCGGAAAGCGACACGTTGTCCCTGCCACGTCCGTACCTGATGCTGGAGGGTTCCTACAGTCCAGCGCTTGAAGCGAGTGTTTGGAGTGAGAACAGTTTGCACGATGTTGTGTCTGCTGTTTGGAGCATTGCTTTAATGATACAAACTGAAACAAATGGTGTGCATGTTCGGTGATACGAGGTGATGTTAGAGAAACACCGATATAATTCTTCATGTTATTAATGGTTCATTTTTAGGCAGCCGGAGAGGACTATTGACATATCAATCTTTTTTAATCATTATTTTCTGAAGGGGATGTATCACAGTTGAGAACAGCAAACAGTTACTTAAATGTGAGACATTAACGCAGGTTTGCTGAGTGGTCTATGTCATTCTGGATCGTGTTTAGGGGGCTGGTGTGTTATTAATCTAGCGTGGTTTCCTCCCACAATCACAACCGTCTGTAGGTAAAGGGGGAGTTGAGGAAAAATAAGTGGAAGATGTCTTGTAATTTGAAAAAAAAATCCAATATGCTTTCAAAAGGCCAGAATGTACATGATTCACCTGAATAATTCACCTCATGCTGCCTCAGCACAATGCATGATACCATGTTAAGATCTTTCACAATAAAAGATTTCATCTCATTTTCAGAGTGATTTGTAATCGAGACAAGTGCAGTGAAAGAGAAGCAGAGTAGATATGTATCCATATGTGCTCTGCCTGTTCTTTGGTGTCGGTAGCTGCTGGTTATCCGTGTGATGCGGTTGATGAGCATCAGGTATGCCGAGCGGCATGATGCCTATCAGGCAGGTCCAGACATGTAGCGAGGACCCCAGAGTGTACAGACGCCCCTCATCCTCACAGGTACACCCTCCAGGGAACGGTCCATCACTCTGCTTCGGCATCACATTACCTCAGAACAAACCCCCACGCTGGTCCCCACTGGTCCTCCTGACAACCTCCATCCACACCGCTGGAAGTACTGCTGAGAGCCTGAGGACTGATGCTGACGGGTACAGGAGAAGTCTGTTGCACGAAATTTGGGCCGTACAGCTAAGCAGTTACATTTAATTTTAGATTAACTTTAAGCAGACAACATGTCCCACGTGTACATGTCGCTGTGTTCACGTGACAATAAGAGGGCTTCCCTTAGCTATTGATTGGTAGACCCTCAAACAAAACCTAAACCTGTTACAACAGCAATGACTGCACTGTAATGAATGTGCCTGGACAGACACACATACAGATGGTGACACTCTTTACTTCATGTTATAGGTATGTGGAGAAAATGCATAGACTGCTTGAGCCCCGTTCTGAATGACTGAGTCAGCTGGATTGGATTGAGCATAATGTGGAGTCTGAAAGTCCTTGAGCCCAAACCTGCAGAAGCATATCTTACTCCCAGTAAGCTGGACCGTGACCAACACTGTTCAAAGGTTAACTCTACATACACACAGTTTATGTCAGAGGCACCAACAGAAAAAATATATATTTTATTGATTTTGTATTTATCACAACCTAATTGTATGCTTTTAAATGCCTAAACATTACAAACTATACAATCAAATCATTTGATAAGATAAAACAATACACTTCAAAGAAAGAGCATTTCAAATTCACTTTGGTAAACTGAGAGCAAAAGAGGAAATCTAAATTGAACTGAAAGTATGGAATGAGCACTTAGCCAATGATTTGTAATGTTTTATATTGCAGTGAAAACATCTCCTATAAAATGGATTTATTCAAGTTTTTCTACAGAAGAGAACTGTTTACAAGATTACATCATGATAATGTTATGTTCTAAACTTTCACCGTGTACAACTTTTTACTGAACAGAGCTTGAACGCATCTTAATGTAACTCAATGCAACCTCCTCACGTTAGCTGTTAGCTCCGTTATTTAGCCCACTGGCTGCTAACAGCTAACAGCTAGCTCTCCTACTGCTGATTTGTTGATCACTATGTGGCATAATTAGGAACAGGATGCACTAGAGTGTTTAAGCACAGGTGTGTAATAATAGTTTGCACATGTGCAGTAGCGACCGGGCAGGATGTACAGATTGGTTAGCAAGTGATGCGTGTTGTTTTTGTTCCTGTGTAGCAGAAATAAGCAGAAAATGACACGATACTGTGACATAAGATCGTGCACAGACTTATCAGACATATCCACGATACCCGACCCAGCATGATAGGCTGTTTCTATTTCTTTTAGACTATAAGATATTTCTGATTCTGTATCAGTATCGGAACATCTCCTGCTCAAAGAATCACATGAGATGGATGACTGTTCTCAGTGAGTCAGCCAGTGAGCTGTTTGATTGCTGCCTTGCTTCAGAACTGATGGAGATGATGAGAGAAGCCAACAGTATGCTTTGAAGGCTCATGTTAGTATTTGGTATTCAGGCTCGGCAGTGTCATAGGTTCAAACCTTTGAGTGTTTCCATGTAATGACCATGTGACGCACACACTGAGGGAACATGTGTCGCAGCAGACAACCACTCCGCTGTGCTCTTCCTCCTCTGTTTCCTCCTCTTCATCGTCCTGCCGCCTCCTCTGTGTCTCCTCCCCCACCTCCTCCTCCGAGATGTTGAATCCTCCCCCACAGCGACAGCTGTACGTGTACACACGCTCATCTGAAACAACACACACTCCCATGTTAAAGACCTACCTGCCTCGGTCAGAGAGTGAGCGTCCCCGACTACGGATACTTTGACCACGACATTTAACGCTGGTTGAAAAGTGAAATACACAAATATATATGAGAAACTGTCTCAGTAAATAAAACAACTATGGAACACTTGGAACCAGCTTGGAAGGACGACCTAGGTAAGGAGATTGCAGAGGAGCAGTGGGAGACAGCCTCAGAGCAGATTCATAGCACTTCAGTGTGTGCAGGACATGGCCTTCTGCACTTTAAGATAATATGTCGTTTACGTAGGTCGGAACAGAAAAGCTCAGCAGGATATCTCAAGAAATAGATGCGTGCTTGTGCCGGCATCACTCGGTCATACTTTCTGGAGTTGCCCCTAGGATATCACACTATTGGAGCAACATTTTCAGACCCTATCAAGAATGTTGCATATACCTATTATATATATATATATATATATACCTATTGACTTGATGGTGGCTCTAAAGAGTATAGACTCCAGCATAGTAAGAAACGGCATGGAACATAATATGAGTTTAACTGTTAGCCTGCTGGCATGAAGATTGATATTACTCAATTGGAAACAGAGAACTGCACCAACAGATTCAAATCTATTGAGAGACGATGTGAGACACTTGAAACTAGAGACAACTTTGAAAAAACAACAAGAGAAATTTAACATTTTTAAAGACCATTTTAATAGTATGAAATGTTGTGACCAGAGTTGAGAGGATTGCTTAGATCTAACAAGTACATAAAGAAATATGTATAAAAGTATGTATAGTAAGGAACATAGTTCTGAGGCATCCATTTCTCTTATTGATTTTATTTTTCCCCCTACGTTTCCTTCCTCCACTTCTATGGAGGGATATATATACGTATGTCATAACCTGTATTGACTGATCTAAGACATTGAAGGTGAAATGGGACAGAATGGTGGCATTTTGAAATTAATGGACAGTTACAAGCAACTTAATTGAGGTCACGAAAAGTCACTGAAACTTGAAAATGGTGTCAAATTTGATTTTGATCAAGTTTATATTGCATGTATTTTGGACATGTACTTGTTAAAAATGTATTTATTTATGTATTATTTGAATCCCCCCTTGATTTTCCTTATTAATGTATTTTTATGAATGTATCTTGTTGTTGATGTTTTACATTAGTATTGTTGTTATTCCTTCTTTTAGTACATAGGTGTGCTTTGTATGTTCTGTACGGTGGAACTAAAATGAGAATAAACACAAAAAGAAAAGTGAAACAGTAACTATAATGACGAGAATCATGTTGTATGTATACCATTAGAATAAAAACATTTGTATACATGAAAACAATAATATAAAAAAAGCTGTTTGAGCGAGATGAAAGGATTCATCCTCTGAGGACCATGAATACATACAAACAGATAAACCATCATTGGGATCCAGCGTGGGTCTCCCATCACACAGTTTCTACCATCTACATCTATCCTTGGTTGCATTAGACCAGAGGTAGCCAACACGGTCCCCGCGGGCACCTGGTCGCCCGCGGGGACCATGCGAGTCGCCTGCAAGGCATGTTCTAAAAATAGCACTAGTCCCCATGGAGCTCCGTCTAAAAATTGTAGTTTCTGTTCTTTTTAATTAAAAACGCTTGCAGTCATGTAGATTTTAAAAGGAAGAGGCCGCCGCACCGCACTAGGTTTTCAGGTTCCGAATGGCGGGCGCTTCCCGTTGGCGCCAGACACACCGCCCCCGCCGCGATCGCACACCGTCGTCAGGTCCGTAAGTCCTCGGAACAGGCCGCGGGGCAACAACTCGTGGGAGGCGGGGGTAGAGGCGAGGCAACGCAGTACGACCGAAAAGGCCCAGACTAGAGGTTTGAACGCAGGCGCCCAAAGATACTCGCGTGCCTCGGAGGGTTGGATCCCCCCTCGGCTATAGACGAGACTTTTTACTAGTTTCTTCGTGGAGAAAAAGGTACCCAAAAAAAAGCTGATGGCTACAGACTACAGGCCGGCATGCAGGCTTCATTGCGCAATGCAAAATTGACCCAGATTTCCCAAAATGTGGTGATTAGTACTAATGTAATAGGATTCATTTAAACATGTGAAAGAGTTGATTTTTTTTATTCTACATAACTGATAAGTTGTATAAACATGGGACAGAGTTCATGACTTGTTCAAAAATGGTACAAAGGTAGTGGTTAGTACAAACGAGTCATGATGTAAAGATATTTCCTAATTTCTTTTAGAAATGATAATTTTTACAAAAATATAATAGGTGCGATTTTGAACAAAATACACAATCATTGTTAATAATTATTGTGAGGAATAATTAACATTGACATGTGATCAGTCTCTTCACATATATTATTATTATTAAAAGGTGATCTGTGCAACTTTGTTATCAAACAAGTTTGTATCAAACAAGTAGCCCTTCGTACTACTCGGTACCCTTGAAGTAGCTCTCCGTGTCAAAAAGGTTGGTGACCCCTGTATTAGAACATTGCTGCAATGTTGCAATTCAATGTGCAGGATTACCCATTTTTGGATTTTCACGTGATCCTTTTGCATCAATGTCATGAAGTACCTTTTCATGTCCGGTATTTCACTAATTGGATGATCCAAAAACACACGTTAATTTCTGATTATATTAACCATAAACAGTTTCTTCAATTATGAACCACTTTGTTGCTTATAACAAGCACTGTACATGTTTGGGTGTCAACTTCGCCAGAATCTTTAACACTGTGATGGTTTTCCAGAGAGCTTTGTCGAGGTGTGTGTGTGTGTGTGTGTACATGGTGGGTAGTTACCCTGTTCCCAAGTCATGTCCTCCAGATAGACAGTAGAATCCACTGGCCAATCCTGCTTCAGTTCCCGTGCTGGAGAAGCATTAATGCATCATTAATTCCGTGAGCGCTTCCGAGTGCTCTTCCGTGAGCGCTTCCGTGAGCGCTTCCGAGAGCGCTTCCGAGAGCGCTTCCGAGAGCGCTTCCGAGTGCTCTTCCGTGAGCGCTTCCGTGAGCGCTTCCGTGAGCGCTTCCGTGAGCTTCAGAAGGTTCTTTAGAAATGGATTTTACAATCATCTTAGCCTTGAGATGCATTTAGGGAACAAGGCTACAAAGCCCATTCTACTAAAAGAAAAGACCATCAATGTATGGATGGATGAACAGTGATGGAAGGACGGATAAATGGATGGATTGACTGAAATGAAAAAAGGATAGGCAGGCGTACAGATGGATTTCACACACTCTTATTTTTACAGTTCACTCTTGAGGAAACAGTCATTATCAAGTTGTACAGTTTGACAGTGATAATGACTTAATGAACCCTGAATAATTAGTGCTAAACTTTGCTGGGTTTTAATTAGTGTTACACGGTGTGAGGAATAACTCAAAGAAGCGTATTGTTAGCCGAGGTAAATTTGCAGTCCTTGTCCCTGGTTAGGCCTGGAACGTTTCTGTATCACTTTTAATGCAGCACAAGCATGACCTGAATGTGTAATTCAATCTTCATCCTCATCACACTGTGAAAGACCTTGTTTCAATTTATCTATAAAAGCTAGTTTTCCCCTTACATTACGACCAGGGCACAAGAGATCAAACCCTGGTACGTACAACCACAGCAATAAACCAACCAGCACTCGTCCCCTGTATGTCTGTATTCATGCCAACTGCATGGATGAATAAATTAATGTACGGCAAAACGACTTCCATCAGCATGTCAGGAAACCGGACTAAGACCAGCCTCCTGTGGATCAGTACTTGTGTCACACGTTATAACACAGGCAGCAGTGAGTATAGTGAGAGGTATCCTACATGTTCTAGGGCACTCGTTATGAAAACGCTCTATGCAACTCAAAATTGTTTGAATTTGTTGCCTGTCCATTCGTTTTCAAGAAAAAACAAATATGGGATCATGATTGGACGGAGGAGAGTGTAGAGATGCAGCAGATACCCAGAACTTATGAAGTGGAACCAGTGTTAGCCTCAACATGTACACAGTTATTCAGTCACGGCAAGTTACCGTCCATAGAAATGATACCGATGAGTAATACATCTGACATGTTGTTCTGTTGTCAGAGTATGAAACAGGGATTTATTGGGGCTTTCCCAAAATATTCACCCATTGAGATTTCTGATAAATAATGATCAGTGATATGGATATGACTCATGGGTGAAGGCACATAATAGAACAGTGTGGGAAGTGATGCAGCCTTAAAAACAAGAAGATGAATCTTATAACACATTACAAAATCACAATATATATTTTCATATCACTATATCGATAAAATACCGATACATCGTCCAGCACTAGCATGGATCATAAAGGGGCGGCTGTGGCTCAGGGGGTGGAGTGTCGTTGGGCAGAATGTGAACACACGGCTCTGGAGGCTGTGAATGAGCACTTACATGAGCAGCTTGAATGCCCAGTAACCCATTAACCTATGACATCATCACAAACAATAATAACAACTAAAGTTTGTCTTGGAAACTAAACAATGAGCATGTCAGTGACATGTGAGGTCCTACCTCTCCTCTGCAGGTCATACTGTCGTCTGGTGCTCTGGTCACTGAGGATCCTCCAGGCTGCATCAGCTTCTAGAAACTTCTTCACTCCAGACTCTGCTTCTGAAGAACTCCCCCCTCCGAGGCGGTCTGGGTGGTACTGTGAGGCACACAGGCACCGAATATGAAGACACATTATCTTCAGCTATACTCTACCATCTATTTCAAAACCGATGTCCTCCCCCATCTTCTACCATGTAGCTGGTCGAGAGGATCACTTGTGTGTCTTTAACATATTAGGGTTCAGCTAAATATTTAGTACTAAGAATCAACAAAGAAATCCTGTGTTTCTGTTTGGACTTGGTTCAGACTTTGACCATTGTGTAATGACTGTAGCAACAGACAGACACACAGTATGTGTTGCTTCAGCCCGACTCAGACACAGAGCAGTGTGTTTACCTGTAAGGCCAGCTGCTGGTACCTGTGTCTGAGCTGCTGGACTGAGTCTGAGGGGCTGGCTCCCAGGACAGCGTACAGGTCCTCCTCCACTGCTTCACACATCCCTGCTGGGACACAACGCTGACATTAGACTGACGCATCATTAACACTAACTTCGACTGGCAGAGCCAATGCTTTTTCCACTGGCCTTCATATAGAAGCACCAGAGGATTCATTGTTGCCTCCAATGCATATCTGTAACTTTCAAAACGTATTTAGAACCTGCTGCATCAGTATGAGGACAGGTACGCAGCTGCAAGGCCGCTAAACACAACCAAGCACTCCTTAAAGCCCCAACACGGTGTTTGTGATGGTCAGAGCTGCAGATGGATGAACAGTGGGTAGTCTGTTTGTCTGTAGGTGTGTATATGACTGTCCTTTGCAACTTTTGGGAACAAATCATCCAATCAACTTCACAATTGGCAGGTGCAAGCAGTGAAACAGTTCTCTACAATACTGCAAGCAGCACTTCTGGAGGCCAACAACCTGCCCGCAGTGCTACAAATGGCACCAGTCCTCTGACAAACACATCGTTGAAATGTCTGTTAATTGGCTTAAGTTAGTGTACGCTGTGTAGTTGGGTTACGTGAGAGATCATAACTATTGAATCAGAATCTGTCTTGAAACTCAACATTGATTAGTGAATAGAAACAAAAATGACCAGCAAGCACTTTGATCAGCGTTAATATGCTTCGTCATTGTGGAAGAAAAACATGTAAAAGTGATATAGTTATAGCTTCTCACATGTGAATATTAATAAGTTAAATTCTTTGTGTTTCGGATTGTTGATCAGACAAAACAAGGCATTTGAAGACACCACCTCTTGCTCTGGGGTACTGTGAGGGGCACTCTTCACTCTGACTATGATATGATGATTTAGTTATTAGCTGCCCTGTTTATATATATATATATATATATATATATATATATACATATATATAT